ACATCTATAAGTAAAGCATTAAAGCGGTCTCAATATTAAAAAAAAAAAAAAAACCCCCCTTGTACATTGTTGGATTTCATATATCTCTTTTCTCATGACCGTAGCTCATGAGGCGGTTGTGGCACGTATTTCAATTGAATTAAAAATTAATTGCTAAACTAAATTAAGCGTTTGTAATTACATTTTAATTTGGTTTAAGTGGCAACTAGGAGCAGACACCACTAGGAAATCACAAAATCAATTTTAAACAATTCCGCATAGGTAACAGTTGAATTGAATTAGACTATTCGCAAAATGGTTAGGCTAGTAAACTCTTTGTGTCGTCAATTTTAAACAGTTCCACATAGGTAACGGGCGTACCTTGACTGTCAAAAATTAAGAAAGAGTTGGTTATTGGGCGGATGTCCGTAAATATAACTAATTTATTTACAACAAATAAAATTAAATATTTATTGATGATCAAATCCACTATCCAAGTTGTCAATTTCATTCATAAACTAGAAACTTATTTTTATTGAGGTTAACTCTTAGCCGTAGAATTTTTCGTAGATTTTTTAGTTTGTTATTTTATTTTTACTCTTGACTTCAAGCCCGCTCTTTTATTATATCTATATATTAAACAACCGAAAATAAAACTTTTTGATTCCTTGAGAGACAACCCTATTTCAGCTATACAATGTTATTATTTATTGTGGAAGTAAGTTTATTATATTTGATTTTACAGCGTGTGACAAATGTTGTCGAATTTTGGTGCTGTTGTCAGAAAATTCTAATTGGTTTAGTATATCTTTGGTTGTTTTCTATTATTTAAAAACAAATCTGACTTTTCTTGTTTATGTCGAGATCTTATCGCACAAAAATCTTGAATTTTGATCCTGACATTGAGAGGATTGCGTGTCAATTGAGAAGGGAAACTAAGGAGTGTTGCCTAAAAGATTTAACTTCAAAATAACCTAGTGATTTTAGTTCTGACGAGTTTGAGCTGGAAGAAATGTGGATCAAATAACACTAAGGGAGCTGACAACTCTTAATTTTATTCAGCAGCATCTCTGCATTACATTCCTGATGATAGACGGTAATACTATTTTTGAATTGAAATTGGGACTAATACATTTGTTGCTTTCTTTCCATGGTTTTTCAGGTGAAGAGCCGCATAAGCATCTTCAAGAATTTGACGTCGTCTGCATGAATATGAAGCCACCAGGAATTACGGAAGATCAAATCAAGCTTCGTCCTTTCCCTTCTCACTGAAAGACGGGGCGAAAGATTGACTATTCAATCGACCTTCCGTAAGTGTTACTATATGGACCAACAAGAAGAGAATATTTATTGAGAAGTACTTTCCCGCCTCATGAGCTACAATCATGGGAAAAGAAATATATGGAATACAACAACGTATTGGGGAGCCTTTATTTAAATATTGAGACCGCTTTAATGCTTTAATTATAGATGTCCTCAACACCATATTCTCATTCAATTACTAATTCAATATTTTTATGATGGTCTGACTTTCATCGATAGGAGAATCATAGACGCATCAAATGAAAGAGCTTTAATGAAAAAAACTCCTAGAGAGGCATGAGACTTTCCAAATAACATGACAATTAATTCATAGCAATTTGGTCCAAAAGAAGTAGTAGAAGTTAAGGAAGCAAACAAGGTAAGTTCTATACAACAACAATTAAATGGGCTAACATCTCCGTCCGGCGATGGAGAAGGACAATGATTGTTGTGCAATCAAAGAAGAAGGGAACATCGAGAGGGAAAAAGAAGAAAGAAAGGAGAAGTATGCACAGTGGACGTTGCCAGATGTTATCGGATGAGAAAATTACCCGGCCATGGGCTGGAGTGAAAATGGGGGAGTAGCAACGGGTTGGGGAGAAAGAGAGGAGGGGAAGGTGGCGCTGGGTGAATTTATCGAGTAAATTTTAGGATTAAAAGATAAGAATTATATTTTCACCATAATGATTTGTATAAAATTATAATTCTTCCCCTCTTTGAATGGAATTAAGTATGGGCATGCAAAAAGTCCGTGTCATCTTTTTTAATGCCACTTTTAAGAATTTTCAAGTCAATCACGGACATGCTAAAATCTCCCTCACCTGCATAAAGGTAAAACAAGAATTAAACACACTAAACACACAAAAATTAAAGAAAAAGAAAGTATGAAAAAAAATGGTTGCCTCCCAATAGCGTCTTTTTTTTAACATCTTTGGCTAGATATTATATATTAAGAATTTAGGATGAAGGATTCACAAGAGCCATCCAAACAATCTTCTTCTCCATCTTTGAACATTGGGCTTCTAATTATTTTCACACTTTAACTAAAAAATACTTCCGTATGTATGGATCATCCCACATGTAATATTTTCCATCGTTTTTTTCAATTTATTCATTTTGATTCTCATAATTGTGGATGAAATGATCATTGATATTATCTCATTGTCTCTCAAATGAGCATATTTCAAGTGATTTATCAATGGCTTTTGTTCCAGCTCAATTTTATGCACAATCGATAGAGATAAGTATGTATTAGTTTTTAGCAAAATATCGGAGCAAGTTCATACTTGTGCAAAACCACTTCTAGTGCATCATTGTCTCTTACGCAATTTGCACTGTAAATTCAATGATATCTAACAAAAAAATAAAGCGAGAATCTAGGCGATGTTTTATTGCATCAAAAATCTTGAACTCAATTATTTCCCCATCAAATTCTATTGTCAAAGTATCATGTTTCACATAAATTTTAGTATCCGTTGTACTCATTAAAGGTCTTCCTAAATTATTGATGATAAGTTGGATGAATGTTCATCATGAATATCCATAACATAAAGTTCCATTGGAAAAATCAATTTGTAACCATGACAAGGACATTCTCTTTAATCCCTTCAGGATATGCATGCTTCTTATCGGCAAATTGAATAATAATTTTGGGTTTTTTTAGGAGTGCAAGTATTAAAAATATTATAGATAGATTTATACATGACATTGATTGTTGCATTCAAATCTAACATAATATGTTTAACCTCTAACTGTCCAATTTACATACCATTATAAACATACTTGGGTCACTGCACTTCGGGAGAATTTATTTTTGGAAGAATGCCGAGACATTCACTACAAAAAATTAATATATTTGTAACGGAATTTTGTCCCTAAAGTTCACGTAGCTAATGTAATTTTATTCTTAGTTCCGTTTCTAATGTCATTAGTAACGGAAAAAGTAGACTTAGAGACAAAAAAGTTTTGTTACAAAAATAATTTTTTCTTGTAGTGATTCTCTCTCCCAATGATGCATTCACCACCCTCTAAATTCAGCTTGTTTGTACATAAATCCTTTAAAAACTTCATGTAATTAAAATTTTCCTTCACGAATTCTCGTTTCTTTAATTAATTTTCTTCTTTCTTCAATTTCCAACCTTTTTTTTTTACGTTATTAGCACTATTTTACCTTCTTTTTATTCAATTATTCGAATATCGCAAGATAGTCCAAATTCTTTCTTGAGGAGACCGGAGAACCCTACGATTAAATTGATTCTGGCGGGTTTATCCAGTTAAGCCGTCGGGGGTAATGTTTTTTACGACAAGAAGCGACAACACAAGCGTTGTTTGTTCACTTGTTTATTCAAGCAAAGCAAAGCAATTAACTTTGAACAGACTTTGAACTTTTTGAACAAACACGCATATCCTGCCTTAATTTCTTGTGTTCAAATAAGGCAACTGCAGGGGGCATGTGTTGAAAAATTGGTTAATTATTTAAATTAAATTCATAATTTTCGGAACCGATTATTCGGTGAGTTAAAATACATGTGGGTTGTATGGTGGTTATTGATAGTGTAGTTAGGCATATAAATGCTGGTAAGCCACAGGCGCGCGTGCCACCTGTCCGGATCAGATAATTATATGCATATATATGATAAATAATTATTTGAAATTCAAATAATATATTTATGACCGAAATTAAATTTGGTGTTTATAACCGGAATTAAATTGATATTTATGACCGAAATTAAGTATGGTGTTTATGACCGGACGTTACCGGAATTTAATTATCATCGGTTACGGCGATTTCGACTCGGGCGTTAATTGCCCCGCTTGATGGAGGTGCCTATAAAAGGCCCTCTCCACCACCCCATTACCACACCACACCAAGAGGAGTTCTTCCTCTCTAATCCTCTCCACCCCACTCAATTTCCGGCGAGTTTTTTGGCAAGCTCCGGAATCTATACTTATCTAGCTTCACGACGTAGCTTCAGTCCCCTTATTTTAATTCGCCGGAGCTCCGAAATATTGCGGTGCCACCTAATTCGGAGACAAACGTCGTTTTATCTTTAGGAACGTTATGCCACGAACCGGATGTACTACCGGGGCGTATTCGTTTTTACGGAAAGAGGTTCCACATTGACTCAACGTAATTATCAAATTTATTTCGATAAAGTTATTGTGATTATCAAATTTATTTTGATAAATTGATTATCGAATTTATTTCGATAAAATTATTGTGATTATCAAATTTATTTTGATAAATCGATTATCGAATTTATTTCGATAAAATTATTATGATTATCAAATTTATTTTGATAAATTGATTATCGAATTTATTTCGATAAAAATATTAAATTCGATAAAGTTATTGTGATTATCAAAATTATTTTGATAAAATTGTTGTGATTATCAAAATTATTTTGATAAATTGATTATCGAATTTATTTCAATATTTTTGATTATCGAATTTATTTCGATAAATTATTATTGATTATCGAATTTATTTCAATAAAATTATTGTGATTATCGAATTTATTTCGATTGATTATTGAATTAATTCCGATAAATTATTTTAATATCGAATTTTATATTTCGATAATTATTTGATATTCTCGCGGTATAAAATTTTTCCAACAGCATGCATGATCTCTGAATAAACTCCCGATTGAACGAACTGACACTGCAATTCAACTCAACCGAAGTTATCCTTAACTTGGTTCATTGATTATATCGGGTCAAAAGCATACAGTATGTTGTTTCTCAATGCTACATACACACACATTGACATACATACACTCGTACATACAAATTAAAGATAGATATATATATATATATTCAATAATTATATATATTATTAGCTGATGTGAATGTGATCTGGAGTTGGTTTCAGACAGGTTTAAAGCCATGTTTGAGTGCAGCCTCCCAGACGAGATCAATTCTTTCGACATCTATGGCCCCAACTTCATGGTGTGTCCATCCTTCCAACGAGTGAACCACTCCGCCGGCATGGCAAGCATGAACCACTCCTCTCTCCATCGTGTACTGCAACGTTAACGTATCATTAAGAAAGGGGACCTCATCTTAGCCTTCACTATTTTAAGATACTCATAATTATTTATAACTCACTTATAAATCGAATATTTCTGAACCATTTTTTCTGATAATTTAGAAACTAGATAATGTTTCCATATGGTTTTTAAAACAATGCGTAGAATCTATATTTAGTTGATTTTGTGCCATATTTTCGGAAGCACAACAGAACCTCGTGCAGTTTCTAGAGAATTCTGTTCAATGTTTTCTAAAACACGACAACTTTATGTTGTTTCTAAATCATGGAGAAGTATGGTGCAAACTTTCCAAAGTATATGTGGATTATTATAAGCAACTTTGTTCTTTAAGAAATGGAGATTCATGATGATGTCTTACCTCGCATGATCCTAGCCCTTGAACGTCTTCTGGTAACTTCATGGCAGCGAGATCGCCGTAAGTGCAGTCCCCCCGGAAGTGCAATATTGGAGGGACAACGAATTGGTGAAAATGGGCTCCCGGTGGCGCGAAGTTTTGCTCTCTCGGTGTGATCCATTTGCCTACTATCCATGTCTAATAATTGGTTCAAGGCTTGAGTCATTAGCCGCGAATGAAGGCTACATATATCTATATATTGATGAGAGTGTGTGTAATGTTGAAACATAATTCGACCACATGGATATTACCTTACAGTTTTGTGCCGCTTGGTACTTAGTCACTTGCACCAGATAGTTTTGGCAATCAGCAGGTGCTTCTTTCTGGATCTTGCGAAAGCGTTCCCTCGATGAAGTTAACATCTGTATGACCGTCATTTTAAACATTTATTTGTACATTATTATAACAAGTGTGCATATAAAATGTGGATATGATGCCGCTTACAAGAACTCGGACTTGTTTACGGCAAAGGTATAGGGCAATAGCTCTACCAAGCTTCGATGTGGCTCCCGTCAAAAACACCTCAGTTACATCTTCCGGGATCTCGTGGAGAATCACCGCTGCTGTTAAGGTATTCCCGTGCACCACACGAACCTTAAGATCCGGATGCTTGTTGACGAAGAGCGTTCCACCCCCGTTAAGAGCTTCGTTCTACATTATCATACAAACTACTATCAAACTCTCATATGTTTTTTCACTTCATAACTATATTATGTTTCATATTTTTTTTGTCTGCACTTTCAAAGTTCACATTCGAAAACTAACACTCAGTAGAGAGAGCAACCTTATTCAAAGCCGCGAGGCTAATAACTTTGACGCCCAATTTGTTGGCTCGTAGAATCGCCTCTTCTATTTGTCTATTGATTCCTTGTGCGGCAAATGGCAAGAAGTACTGAAATGGCAACACACAAACAAACCAAAGCATTGAGGCAGCTAGTGTTGATGTTAGACCACAACACAGAAGGCGACGCAAACCTGGAATCCGAAGCGTGGAACAACCCATGTTTGGTGTAGCCGATTCCTAAGGTTATAGAAAGAGACCAAGAATGTTTTGGACTTTGCCCACATGAATAACATGGCAAAAAATGAGACAGGCAACATTGGCAACAGGTAAATTCTTGTGTAGTAAGGAAGAGATGCGACGGATCGATATACAAAAGGCGCATGCAGCGCGGATGACATGTCTACCACATGGGCTAGGAACACAAAGTCCGGCACCCTTGCATTTTCACCTGCATTATTTTCGACATGGAACAAACAATTCACTTAATTTTATATATCTTTGTATTGGCTTCAAGGAAATTAAAAATAAAAAGGTTTAATTTGCTTGATCGTATTTTTATTCTTGTTTTCGCACTATATATTTTTAGAATCGAAATAATTTTTTGATTATTTTCCAAAATACTTTTAAAACACTTTCAAAAACATTATTGGATCAACAATTTATTGTATTCACAACTGTTAAAAATTAATTATAAATAATAAAACAAGTAAAAATCATAAAATATATCCAAAGAGGTGGAAAATTGACATGTAATGAATGAATGGGTGTGGCAGACCTGATGAATTGTTGCTGTTCTGCCTATGAAGTTCCCACGAGTCCATGTTCAGTGTGTTTCCGAGTGCATCAAAAAGGGGCATGAAAAGGCAATAATTGGTGTGCATTTCTGCATGATGCAAGCTGTGATACCTGTTTTGTGAAACCAAATAATACCAGTGAGAATAATTATAATTTGTTAATGTATAAGACAAACTGACAACTAATGCCTTCATTCTTACAAATATATAAATTGTAACAGAAAAAAATGTATGTATTCGACCTTTTTTGCCTAAGAAATATTGCTTGTGCAGAAGTTACGACGTTAATATATTGGGTTTTTTTTTTTTTTTATTTAATATTTTTTTTTATGAGTTATTGCTTGTTAGTTGCAACAATGAATGGTTTTCGATTATATAAAAAATGAAAACTAATGTCTTCTATAAATACACATTCAAGAAAATTTCATCTAAAAAAAAAAAAAAGGCTAAATTGTACAAAATCTACCGGTGGTTTCATGAAATTGCGTCAAATCCCCTATACTTTTAAAACTACGTCAAACTCCCTCGTGGTTCTAACCCCTCGGCGGTCCTTATTTAACTGTATTTAACCTAAAATTATAAATATCTTCATTTTTATTGTATTTAGTCTAAAAAAATAATTAATATACTAAAACATAGTTATTTTTATCAGGTTTTAAGAGTTTATTTTTACTGTTTTTTTAGGCTAAATATAAGAAAAATATGTATTTTTTTTTTAAATTCAGAGGTTTAGAAATTAAAATTCTAAAATTTATTCGCAGTTTGAGTGCATTTAGGTCAAATACTGTTAAATAAGGACCGCCGATGGTACACTACAAGAAAAAATTATTTTTGTAACAACTTTTTTATCTCTCAATCTATTTTTTCCGTTACTAATGACATTAGAGACGGAATTAGGAATGGAATTACGTTAGCTACGTGAACTTTAGGGACGGAATTCCGTTACAAATAGATTATTTTTGTTGTAGTGGGTTGAATACATAGTTTATGAAACCATAAGGGAGTTTGACTCAATTTGGCGCAATTTTGTGATGAATTTTGTGCAATTTAAAAAAAAAAAAAAAAACAGGAATTTCCCCATCATTTAATGAAGATGTAATTATATAATAAACAAATATATATCAATTAAAAAGGTCAAAAATGAATAATGCATATCATCAAGAAAAAAAAAGTGACGTACTTAGATATATTTTTAACTGCTAAAATGACATACGACAAGCATAGCAGTAGAATTATTGTAGATTTTGATATCGAAATTTAAAAGTATTGAATGTCTAAAATTTTGTTTCATAACGTAGTTTGAAATAATATTTTTTATATGAAGTATAGAAAGTTATATATATATAATATAAAATTAATGAGTATGTATAATATTTTTTTTTATTATTATTATTATTATTTTTTTTTTTGGAGAAATGCATTACTTTGACAAAAAAAAAAAAAAAAAAAAAACACACACACACAATGAGTTTCTTTTAATAAAACTAATCAGTATTATTCTATGGTAAAGCATGTTAGGATTTGATATATTTAATGACAGAGCAATTAAACAAAGTTGAATGTCCTCTAGTAGGAAGCTCTATATAAATTTTAGTTTCAGGATCGAACTCTCCCACAAATGTTTTTATAATACTCCCTCTAACAATTAAAAATATGCTTTTTTTAATCGTTATTTAAAAATATTCTTATTTTTCTTTTTGGCTGAAAAATATATATCAATTCTCTTTATTATAAAAAAAAAAAAGGGAAAAATAAAAAAAGTAACAAAATATATACATCATAACTCGCAATGAAAAGTTCCAAGCCTATTTTTTGGTGACCAGCGAGCATAGTACTTTATGTGACGCCATGAAATAAAACAAAATGAAGTTTCAACTTACGTTGGAGTGTAGATGACATATTTGAGAAATGGGATGAGTTCAAATATTCGATGAGGAATGATCTCCACATTAGAATGTCCTAAACATCGGAGAAAATCGAAAGCCAAAACATGGGTGTAGATCAAGCTCAAGGATCCAAGACCAGCTGTGAATGATCCAAAAATTGGGACTCCGATCACTACTGTCAATAAAAGGTGTTCCAAGAATGTTGCATGTCCAGCTACACAACACAAGTTAATTAGTTACACGCATCAATCATATAATTAACATCCACAACAAAAATTGAAAAAAGCATGGCAGAAAATCGACCAAGTACCTGTAAAGGGCTGTGGTACAGGCGATGAGTGATGGAGATGATGGTAATGGGAGAAAAGATAGCTCCCATGAAAGCATTTGTGAATGTAATAGAAAAGAGGCTCCGAAGCCGTGATATGCAGCAATATTGCAACCATGTTGCCCTTTATGTTCCATAAGGGAATCGCTTGGTTGCTTGGTGATGACAAAACGATGAATGCACCAATTATAGCTTGAAGTAAGATGAAATTGTCCCTAATCAAATCAAGAAACCATTATTCGCAAGAGCTTTGAATGTATATATTCAAACCAAGTAAGTACATATGTTTGTTATATTTTCATATGTTATAACATTTTTATATATATGCGGATTGATTGGGGCAATATTTGTATTCATATAAGTGATTTTTGTGTACCAGTGCCATTCATTGTCAATTTGGTTGAAATCAACTCCTTCCTTGATAATGCGACGATTGCGAGATAGAAAGAGCATGTTGGTGTAGGAGGACCATGATTGATGGATCAGAAGCCTCAGCATACAAATGATGAACATGTGTAAACACCAAGTGCCTAATTTCATGGACTCCCCTTGGTACTTGGACTGCATTGCTTTGCCCAGAAACATCACGTACATCACAATCTGCTATCAATAATTAAATTTGGTCACACAACATACAAGCCATTAATTAGTATAATAGATTGTACCTTGCAACTGCCTAAGCCTTCCCATGGCCAAGCAAATAAAGGTGCAGCCATAGCCATAGCCATAGTCATTGCAGAGAAAATCAAACAACTTGCTTTGATGTAAAATGTATTATGAATATATATATATATATATGTATATGTGTGTGTGGCTTGAGTGAAATATGCGAGAATGTTGATGATATGAGAGGCATGTAAGTGCTTATTATATATAGCACAAGAGGAAGAGCTTCAACGATACTTTGCCCCATTGAGGGGAGGGCGAGGTCACCGTCAACTATTAATTAATTAATTAAGCTAGGGCCAGTACTCTACACAGATAGAGAGAGAGAGAATATGACAATAGCAATCGGGGGGGCATCTCTGCATCTTGAATTATAATAATATTAATGGTATTTGTGAATAAGTGGATGGGGGATGGGGATGGGAATGGGAAATGGGGAAGTTATGGGCGTGGAGGCCATGGATGTGTTGCTATCGGGGACTGTAAATGAATAATATCAATATGAACATGAACATGAATGAATGAGGGATGGGTGTTTTCGATCCATAGATCAATATTGCTTCTATTCTAATAATTAATTACTATCTCTATTAACTAATTAATTAATTAATTTATTAAGAAAGAGCAGAGCAACTGGCTGTCAAACTCATCTTCCCTTCCCTTCCCTTAGCTTGCATGTCCTTGAGAGATTTAATTGATTTATTGAAACACCACACAACACCCCGAACACAAGGCATCCGATCCGAGTTTACCTATCCGATCTCGGGGGCTTCTGTTTCCTTGCGCGACTTCCAGGGCACATCCCACTCTCTCATTATATACATAATAATTTAATAAATTCAACACATTGCTGAATGAATTTGAATCATTAGATGATAATAAATATTAATAGATGAGATTACCTTCATGGATAAAAATGCTTTTAAAGCAAAATTTTAAGTATTTTTATATCTATTCTACTGACATCATATGATATAGCATAAAATAATAATTTTATATCAAACATTCAATATATCATTATTTTTTATTCATGAAAGATTAAAAGTGATACTTAGATATGACTATTTATAAATTTCATAATATCTTAAGATATTTTAAACTTCCACTGCCCCCGCATAATTTGTTCATCTTTTCTATTTTTAATCCCACATAATTTGTCATTTTTAATTATACACTTTAATCACATTTTAAATTTTATAATTTTTTTAATCTTAATTAAACTATTTAGTTATGTTAATTTTAATCTATAATTAATTTTACTATACCATAATTATTTTTACTAATAAACTTATTAATTACTATATAAAGTAATACACCAATATTATATGGGAGTATTTATCTTTGTTTTTCATCCTTAAAAAACCTCTCAACGTCATATTCGAAAAAAAAAAGATCACATTATTTTTTTAAACTATGTATATATTTATTTCCATAAAATTTACCTAGTAAATTAAAGTTATACAAATCATATAAAATTTTCGTATATTATTATTTAGTTAACTTTAATTATATAAATTAACATAAATTAATTTATATTCATATTTTAGGAAATAGTAATTTAATTAATCATAATACAAATTTGATTCATAGTTTAGGCAATGATTCTACTCATTTTATTCCTATGAATTAAGAGCATAAATTAGGAAAACTATAGTCAAATATTTTTATTTTCTCAAAATATTAAACACAGCAAATCGAATAATTTTATTGTTTAAAAATATTTTATACAAATAAAATCAATAAATTGTTCAGCAGTTCCAGCAAATGACATCGTTTTGATGTAATATTATAAATATCATATTGTACAATTGTTCACATAATTTTTTGGTATATATTAGAGATATAATGACAACTTCCATTAAACTCTCTATATCTATTTTAAAAATTTTATTTACTCCATATGCATTAATTTGTTCTTATTTATTTTCCACTTTTATAAATTTGTTCTTTTTTATTCCATATCCATCTAAAAATCATATAATGCCCTTATTTAATTTCTCATATCTATTGTATTTCTCATTTTGTCTTCATGTATAAATCTTAAATTTTTACCTTATAAATTTACTTTATTATTATACATATAATAAATAAATAATTGTATGAAATAAATATTGACAACAAAAACAAACATTGATGATGTAACTTTGTAACAGTTTCGAAAAAGAGAATCTATTACTAATACAAAGTAAATAATCATAGGCTTGAATTATATTTGCAATCCTTAATTAAACAATTCTTCAATACAAAATATGTATAATATTGTATCAATCTCAGTCAAATAAAGTATAAGTATACAATGAAAAATATTTCAAATATGTTGAATGAGTGTTGACGTCAATATAAAAAATAATCTAAAACAAAAGATAAAAGTATGAATATTCATTTGAAAAAATATATTTTTCCGGTGTGAAAAAATATAAACCAAAGTTGATTATGTCAAGTCAATAATATTACGAAAGTATTTTTTTATACAATTTATAGAATTAAATTTATTGTTTAGTGTTTATGATGCCATAGTAGATTAAACAATCATATGGATATCTATGCATTTAAGTACCATTTATAGATTAATTAGTATGTAATACTCAAACTTGCAAATATTATTAAACAACAAGTATATTGATTCTATGTGGAAACATTGATACAATATATATATATATATATATTTAAATACTCACAATTATTAAAAAGAATATAAAAAAATTATAGACGATATATATCCGGATCGAATTAAGTATAAGTAAGTAATAAACACGTATTTCGACTCCTCTATAAGAGTATTGATTAGTCTATAGAAAAGTATATAGAGTAAAACTTAATAGTACAATCATTTACCTCAAAATGTATATATATGTTTTTCTCGAGTACATACAAAAATAATAATAATAATAATTATAAAAGAAATTAATATTGTAAACACTAATATATTTAAAAATTAATTATATGCTAATGTATGATACACAATATTGATAATATTATAGCATAACAAGTCAATTGATTAAATATATAAATATTTATATCATGACAAGTAGTTAAAAATATTTATTTGTAATCTTTAAACAATAATACAATATATTTATAATGAAATAATGTCTCAAATGAATAAAATGCCCGTAAACTAGTAAAAAGAATTTCAAATATCATTTAAAGTATTGGTTACGCTATATAAAAGTTTAAATTAAAATTTTTAAAAGTATAAATATTCATTTGACAAATTTTTTATTTTTGTAACTAAAATAATCGATAAGTGAAAATAGATGAAATGAAGTTTTTTAGATTGAATGCGAGTGGGGGCATTGAAGTAAATAAAATATTATTTAAAAGATAAAATAAGATTTTTATATAAGAAATTTATAATTAGGAAGTTGTGTAGAATAATAGAGAGTTTGAAGGAAAGAATTTTTAGACAAAGACCAACAAATAAAAGTAATTAAGAATTGGAAATTTAAGAGATTTAACACTAAATATAATTAATTTAAATATTTATAATTTTAAGAAATAATAATATTTCTCTTGTATTATATAGTAGTTAATAACAATATTTTATACAATATATTATATAACAACTCATATTATTTATTTGTATATATAATTGCTATTGAACGATTACTACTTTCTCGAGCTTCGATGATCCGTATTGATCTTATTTTTATTATGCTTATAGACGATTGCAACTTTCTTAAGCCTCGATAATCTGTATAAATCTGTATAGATCTTCGATGCAAATGTGATGTCGAAAAATAATCATTAATGCATGCTAACATTCAGTTTTTCTGCAATAAATAGGGATATAAGAAAGTAGAATATTTGACGTTAAAAACATCACACCACTCGAAGGACATCGCTGCTCCATCACATGCTGCAATGATGAGGAAAAAACACAATACGCGTAGGAGATGTGTTGCACAATTTAACTGTAAATTTTTTATTTTAGAGTTTTATCAATAATTTGCTTGCGTAGGTGGGGACTCAGTATTTTCAAAATCCTTATCCATGGAATTACAAAAGAAGTTCGGAAGCTTCAATAAAAAAATATAGAAAGGGAAAAATACTTTGAAAATGGGAGAAAATCAAGATAAAACTCGTATTTTTCGGGATCAAATTCCAAATATCGTAAGTCTTTTCCTAAAGCTTAATTCAATATTTTTAATTTTATATTCACTATATGTAAATATTTAAAGTTAAATTTTTAAAATATGTACAGTAAAATAAGCATATACATCAATATAAGACATCGTATTGTTATATTATATACATCAATTTTTTCAAATAGAGATATCATCTCGCTACATATATATATATTGAACATGATTTTTCTATATATATTCATACACTCCAACAAAGTTCTCGTCATTCACTATTTATTCCCCTTCTTTGAAAATATGAAACAATCACGATAAAATTGCAATGAACACTCATAGCTAAGAGTTAATAAACAACAAACTTTTAAAATAAGTAGCAAGTATGAAATACCTCAACGATTCACCATTTGGCTAAAATAGCTTCTTGTGTAAATTGACCACTTTTCTAGGCACGAGTGAAACTAGATGAATGTGGTTTTCGCTCCTTCAGTTTCAACATCTTCTTTCGGTACTTAGGTTCACTCATTACAAGTCCGGCTATGATACTAGTGCAAACGAAATATATATTGAATGAAATGCGGGTAAAAATATAGTGAAAAATGGAATCCAGTCTTTGATTTCACGGTAACAAAAAAATATGGCGATAGTCTTCGGTGGCGAGGATGATAACGGGTGAAATTAATGAAAGGGGAAAATGATTTTTGTGGGTGAAACTATTATAATGAAAGATTAATTAATTTACTAATTAATAAATTAAGAAAGATTAATGTACATATATATATATATAAATTCTGAAAATTTATTTGTTCCAAAAATAATTCTATTAATTATGGCTAAATTTGTTTAATTGACAATATTCATATATCAGTATATAAAAATCTTAAACTCATTCCATAAGTAATATACATTATATATTTTAATATAAAATATCATATTTTTATTATATATATAGTATATTTATCTGACAACATTATTTCGTTACAAATATATAAATTTTGGATAATAATTAATAAATAATGTTTTTATATTTTAGATATATTTTTATTTTCAAATAGTATAACATATTT